CGCCTCGAGCGCGGGTCCCGGCGCCGCGCCCACCCTCGGCTCCAGCCCCGGTCCGACCGCGCCCTCCCTCGGCTCCAACCCCGGCCCGACCGCAGGCGGCTTCGCGGGGAGCCGGGGTGCGTCGCCACTCCCAGCGGCCTGGGCGCCCCACGAGCTCCCGTTCTGGGAGTCGCCGCTGAACCACGGGCTGAACGTGTTCGTGGGCGCCGCCCTGTGCATCACCATGCTGGGCTTGGGCTGCACGGTGGACGTGAACCGCTTCGGGGCGCACGTCCGCCGCCCGGTGGGCGCGCTGCTGGCCGCGCTCTGCCAGTTCGGCCTCCTGCCGCTGCTGGCCTTCCTGCTGGCCCTCGCCCTCAAGCTGGACGAGGTGGCCTCGGTAGCCGTGCTCCTGTGCGGCTGCTGTCCCGGAGGAAACCTCTCCAATCTCATGTCTCTGCTGGTGGACGGCGACATGAACCTCAGGTACAGCGCCGGGCGCGTCCGCAGCCTGGGGGCCAAGGAAGGAGAGCGGAAGCGCAGGCGGCGGGGATGAAGGGTGGAGAAGGAGAAAGGGGAGGAAAAGTGAACGCGGGGCCTCCGAAGTCTGGGCGGGCAGAAGGCAACGTGAGGCAGGGGACAGTCTAGAACGGAAGGGTCTTCGTCCCACCTACAGCAGGGTGCTCCCCCACCCACCTCCTGCACCCCTGCCGTAGGGCGGACTGGTTGTGGGCTCTGGTCTAGGGTCACACACAGACAAAAAGAAAGGCTGGGTCTGAATCCAGGACTGGCCGGAAATGGAAAAGCAAATTAGGGCTATTGGCCCAATAAAGAAAGTAATCTCATAGAGAGTGCAACATAATTGAGTTTAATCCAACAAGTAGCATCCAGCCGCTTTTCTACGTCTAACATTGCAGGGCTCTTGAGAAGATTAACTGGAAAAGAAAGATGCCCCCTGTCTTCTGGCCCATCCAGACTCAATTGGCTTTACAAAGCCCTGGGCAGCAGCACTGAGTTTTTGTTGTTTCTGCCTCTGGCTCATTTTCCCACTGGACTTAGGCTCTGCTTTTTTGGCACTACCTGTAATGAAGTAGCTTTTCCCCAGACTTCCAGCCAGAGGATTCTCAAGTTCCCCGGTTCCCCTCTACCCAACACGGAGAAGGTCGGCCAGCTCTTGGGCTCAAAGCCCGTTCTGACTCCGCTCATTCTTTTCTGCAGCATCATCATGACCATCTCCTCCACACTTCTAGCCCTGGTCTTGATGCCCCTGTGCCTCTGGATCTACAGCCGGGCCTGGATCAACACTCCTCTGGTGCAGTTACTTCCCCTGGGGGCAGTCACTCTGACCCTCTGCAGCACCCTCATCCCCATCGGGCTGGGTGTCTTCATTCGCTACAAATACAACCGTGTGGCTGACTACATTGTGAAGGTAAGGACCCCTTCCCTTCCGTGTCACCTAGAGGTCTTTGGTTGCTGCCTGGGACTGAAATGCTAAGAAATTAAGAAAAGAAGGTAAAGGAAGAAAAGGACTTAGCAGGATTTCCACGGGCGCATTTTAAGCTTATACAACAAAAAATAATTTTTTCCTTTTGGAATTCCTAGAAGGATAACTGTAATTGTGATGTAGCTTAATTAAAAACAGCATTAACCATCTGTCAGTACTCTGGGGAGGAAGCAGGTCATGGGTAAGGAAGATGAAGATGTCATCCAATGGTGATGATTTCCACTGTGTATTACCAGAAATCAAAATAGCTTAAACAAAGTTATTTTAATAGAATTTGTACAGTATTGTGGAAATGCATTTCTGTATTTTCAAAGGTGGAATTTTAATTCTGAGAAAAACTGTAGTAGGCTCCCTTAAAAACGTTGTATTTGGGGCTGGCGAGATAGCTCAGCTGTGTAAAGTGCCTGCCTAGGCAAGCTTAGGCAAACTTAGGCAAGCCTAGGGACTGTGGTTCCATCTCTGGTACCACATGCTGTGCCAGCCCCACCCCAGGATGGGCTGAGCTGGCCACAAAAAATAAAAAATAAAAATGGTGTATTTGTTTTGTTTGCAGGCTGGGGATTGCTAGACAAGTGCACTATTACACCCAAAGCCTATTTTGTTAAAAACAAACAAGTTGACACCAGTAAGACTAAAAGTAATAGAAAAGTTATACTGTGGCAATAGAATAGAATATACAAAATACTGGCTTGAAAGCATAAAATAAAATTTGGTCTAGGTAATGTAGATTATATTGTCATTACTAGGTTTCTGTGTTTCTTTATCCTTTGTTATTTCATATTTTATATGATTTCTAAAAATAGTGAAATAATAAGGGATTTCTATTTCATGCAATATTTCAATATTTTTTAAAAAATATTTTCTTTTTGGTAGCCCCAGAGATTTTAATAGTCAACTGGAGAGAAAAAAAAGAAACTTTTTTTTTTTTCTTTTGGTACCAGGGATAGAACTCAGGTAGTTGCTTATGCCACTGAGTTGTCCCCTCCCCCCCCAACTTAAGCTGAACCATAAACAAGATGCCACTTTCGAAAGTTAGTCAAATAAAATACACAATTACTGTACAGTGCAGAGGCAACTTCCTTTAGACAAATGAGAAAGAGAGCCATTCCAGGGTTTCAGTTATGTAGATTTACGATGTGCTCCTCTATTTTACTTATATTAATTTATTTTCTAATCTGATTATATGGAGGCACTGACTTCATGAATGTGAAAAGTAAAGGGATCCTTTCTGTATATAAATCTAGCTTTGAATAAAAAAAAAAACTCCACAATAAACATTTATGTGAATGTAATAAATACATGTGAATCTGTAAATACACATTTTTTATACCCACAGATAATGTTTAATCATGAATACAATGACATTTACTTTAAGAATTCTAGAAAGGAGTCAGTCAAAGAGGTATTTACACAGAAGAAATATAAAAACCAGGAAAGTATTTAAATAGTAGTCCAGCAAGTTTGGCTTGCTTGCATGTAAGGTGACCTTACCTCTATTCTTTAGCACTACTGAGCTATGGTTTATATAATGGCTACCCTTTTGCAAGCACTTTAAAATCAACTTTCAACCTAAATGCTCAAATTATTTAAAACAGCTTGGAGCTTTGAAGTCATTATCTTCAAAATGAAGAACCAGATGTCTTGTCAATGCTTTCAAGGTGATATACTTTTCAACTTAATATAAATACACATTTTGATTAGTAACTATTCATGTGTGATATCTGAGCATTACTAGTATTTCAGTATAAAATTCTCTGACAATTTCACAGACTCCAAAAATACTTCCTCCCAAATATCTAGAGAGGCAGAGGGAAGTTTTCTCTCTGGATCTCCATTTTTCACCCACTCCACTCATAATAAAAAATGAGTTCATTTGTAATCCCAGCTCTTGGGAGGCTGAGACAAGAGGATTGTAGCGAGTTTGAGATCAGCCTGAGATACAAAGTGAGCTCAAGGCCAGCCTGAACTGCACAGCAAAACCCTGTCTCAAAAGAACAAAAACAAAACAAACAAAAAAAGTTAACTGCCATTTTGAAGGGAAATAGGAGAGAGGAATTTTGATGTTTCTGCCTTATGATTTATACAGCCTGTTTTATTTGAATGAGTGAAATGTTACCAGTCAGAATGTCAAGATGACATGTTTTATATAGTCAGTAGCAATATATCTAAACCCATCTACTTTAGTTATTCCTCAACACCATGGAAATTTTTAGATGAGAGGTTTCTTTTGAGTAAATGAATACGAGAGAAGTTAAAAATTACAAAGAATTCCTCAACTCTCTCATTTACTTTTTTTTCCCCTTTCAAAATCTAAATTAATTACTTCAACTTGATCAGCAATCCTCTGAGATATATTTTAAGGTTAAAAATATCACATGGGGGCTGGTGAGATGGCTCAGTGGTCTAAAGCACCTACTTAGAACAAGCTTAGCAAAGCACAGGGACCGTGGTTCAATCCCCCAGCACCACATACCAGCCAGCCCCGCCCCATGGTGGGCTGAGCTGGCCACACACACACACACACACACACACACATAAATAAATATTTTTTAAAAATCATATAGCAGGGGTTGGGGAGATGGCTCAGTGGTCTAAAGCACCTACTTAGAACAAGCTTAGCAAAGCGCAGGGACCGGGGTTCAATCCCCCAGCACCACATGCCAGCCAGCCCCGCCCTCTGGTGGGCTGAGCTGGCCACACACACACACACACACATACACACACAAATAAATAAATAAAAAATTTTTAAAAATCACATAGTAGGTTAATTTTTGTTATATATTTTAATAGATTTTCATTTCATGCGTAAAATGACAATTAACTTTGCACTGACACATGATGTTGTTTGGTAAATGCGCACTATCTACTCCATTCACTACACCATACCTGGGGTATTTTTACCAGGGCTCAGTTTTATTGGCTGTTTTAGGAGACACAATCACAAACTACATGTAAAGTCAAAACAGTCAGGACACCGAAACGAATGATGTGATAAGGGAGGCGAGACTGGGGATAGTCTACCTGGAGAAGACTGCTTTATAAACTTTCAAAGTGCAGTTTTTCAAAAGCAGACTGGTCTCATGTTGCTCTTGGAGGCCTGAACAAGGAAATGGTCCGTAAATACAGAAGCATGTTGTCACTTGACCTGAAGACTGGCCTCCAAACAGAAACAGCTGTCTGACCTGGGTCTGGAAGCCTCCTGAGGAGCTGACCAGCCCTCTCTGTAGATGTAAGGTCTCACTTTGTGGGGGAGGTCAGACTAGACGGGTACTTTCTTCCAAGAGCCTAGGGTCAACTTCCACAATCTCATTGCTGATGGCTTGTCTGTTTTCTATTACTAGGTTTCCCTGTGGTCCCTGCTAGTGACACTGGTGGTCCTTTTCATACTGACCGGTACAATGCTAGGACCTGAATTGCTGGCAAGTATCCCTGCAGCTGTGTACATGGTTGCCATTTTTATGCCTTTGGCAGGCTATGCCTCAGGCTATGGCCTGGCCACTCTCTTCCACCTCCCACCCAACTGCAGGCGGACTGTGTGCCTGGAAACCGGCAGCCAGAACGTGCAGCTCTGCACTGCCATCCTAAAACTGGCCTTCCCACCACGCTTCATAGGAAGCATGTACATGTTTCCTTTGCTCTACGCCCTTTTCCAGTCTGCCGAGGCAGGGGTTTTCGTTTTAATATATAAAATGTATGGAAGTGAAATATTGCACAAGCAAGATCCTCTAGATGAAGATGAAGATACAGATATTTCTTATAAGAAACTAAAAGAAGAGGAAATGGCAGATGTCTCCTATGGCACAGTGAAAGCTGACAATTTAATAATAATGGAAACCGCCCAGACTTCTCTCTAAACATGGAGATACATAGGAGCTTCTGTCTCGATGAAATAATAATTCATATTTATGGCCTGTGGTAGTGCACATGGTTCACATAAAAGATAACAGTTGGTTTGCACACTATGTGTAACAATTTTGATCTTTCCTTTGTAAAGTTGCACTGCAGTAGTAACTTAAGTGTTTCCATAATTTACAAATCAGTGTCTTACTATAACTTCCACATGGTTGGGCTACAGTGAGGCCCCATCTGGTTCAATATGCTTTTTGGTTTTTGCCGTTACCAATTTCTATGATTGCTTCACAGACAGAAATTAATGTATTAGAAAACAAGGTCTGGAAATGTAGTTTTGGTGCACTGTCTTAGCTGAGTAAATACAAGCTATCTATAAAGCATAATTGAGTTTATTGTAAAACAGCAAAGTGTGCTCATTCAACTTGTAAACACAGAACTATGTTAATCTAACATACAGGGGAAGGGGGAAACCAGCAAAGACCACCAGGCTTGTGTAAGAGCAACATAGCCAAGAGCAGACAGTGGGATAAGACTGTCTGCCCCCAACGAAGACAAGTGTGTCCCTTTTATAGGGATGTATACTGGGCAGGTGGGAAGATCCCAGTAAACATCTGTGCTCAGAGTTCCAGCAGTCTTGCATCTCAGTGTCCAGAGTCCTTGAAGTGTCCAGTGTAAATTTTGAGGTGTGTCCAGATGTCCCCAGGACCTGCAAAATTCCTTTTCCTATATTATCTCCTTTCCTGTGCTTGCTATAACAACTTCAGTACTGAGTTTCCTATAGACGGTCTGCTTCTGCTGGTAAGCCTGCTAGGAGAGCCAGGTCCAGTTACAGCCTTACAGCCTTACATTAACAACGTTGAATTTTGAGCTGTACTCAGGAAATTCCCCAAAGGTCAGTGACACGATAAAAGATTTTATTGTCAAAAAATATTTTATTGTCAAACCAGCAACAAATCAGAGAAAAACAATGTATTTGATTACTTGATCTGACATCTATTTATTGCAAATGAACCGTCAACATCTTCCCAGTTGATTTCTTTGCAAAATTGATATTCTGCCTTTATTTTCCACACATTTCTAAAAAATTGGTTTATCTTCGGAGCGATAGGTTTGGAAATTGTGTAGAATTTAGCATTTGCCTAAGCAGAGTGAACTGGCTTTGATGGGGATGAGGCTCCAGGGGAGGAAACAATTAGCCTAGATCTGGAGGCCCTGGGCTTCCCGGTGCTTGCTGAAAGACATCGGTGGGCAGAGCTCTGAGCAGCTCTGAGAAAGCTGAGCCCTAATCATAATCTGAGTTAATGGGTAACAGACTCACTGTAATTCGCAAATCTGGGCGTTCTGCCCACCGCCCCAAGGCTCTCAGCCTCGCTCGCCCCTTTCCCTCTCCGCGGGGCACGGACACCTGGATCCCCAGAGCTCAGCTGACCCGGGTTTTAGCTCTCCTTCGGCCTCTCTCGCCCCCGCGCGTTCACCTACAAATCGCCACTTAAGTCGCTGGGAGAGGCCTCGGTCGGACCCCTCGCGATCTGCTCACCTCCGCCGTGGGGTTTCCGCGCGGGCTCCGGGACACCGGCGCCATCCATACCCAGCGCTGGCCACGCAGGGGGCCCCGCCGATGGCTGCTGTGGGAGACGAGGTCCTGGGCGCCTTCATGTACCCGGCCTGCGCCCCCTACTCTTACCCCTTCCCTTTCCCGCCGGCCAAGGGCGCCGATGGCTGGCGGCTGCGCGGCGGGGGCCACCCGCCCGCCTCGTCCTCCCCCGCCACAGGAGCGACCGCGTCGTCCTTCCCCGGCCACGGGCAGCTCCCGGCCACCGAGTACTTCGACAACTACCAGCGCGCGCAGCTGCTTGCGCTCCTGTCGCACGCGAGCCCGGGCTTCGGGCCGCGCCCCCGCAAGCCCAGCTGCCGCGACGTGGGGGTACAGGTGAACCCGCGGCGCGACGCCTCGGTGCAGTGCGCTCTCGGACGGCAGACGCTGGCGCGCAGGCCCCGGGACCCGGGGACCCCGACCGTCCCCGCACGCTTCCCGCGCTCCCGCGCCGTGTACTCGCCCGTGCTCTCCAGCTGCCTCACCGCCTGCCTGGAGGAGGCCTCGGCTGGCGCTACGCAGGGACACGGGGCGCCGGAGGGGGACGAGGGAACGGCGAGGAAGGCGTCCCCGCCGCGGGCCGGGCAGGAGCAGCAGGAGGACCCCGGTGGGGCCGGGCCGCCGTTGCAGGAGGCTCAAGCCGGCGAGGCGGCCCCACAGCCCGCGCCGCGGAGCCCCGAGCAGCCCCTGGCGGCAGGGAGGGCTGGGGACAGCGAGGATGTGGCTGCCACGGCGCAGGAGAAGTCACCGCAGGACGCCCCTGGCAAGGAGCGCCTGCGCTTCCAGGTGAGGGAGGCCCTGGCTCAGAGGACCCGGGGTGGAGACTCTGTGCAGCCCGAGTGCTGGCCCCCGCAGGGTGTGATTTTGCAGGGCTATCGGTGGGTGTGCACACAGAGAAACGGGAGGGGTAACTGGCTGGCGGGACCCTCAGTTCCCGGGGGCCCCTCTACCACTTCCTCGCCAAATATGACCAAATCCTTAACAGACCACCCTGTGGGCCTCAGAGGCTGCCCTGTCATTCTGACCTGCAGACCTCGAACTGAGGCTGCCTGGAGGTAGAGCTGCTCAAGCGCGCTTCCAGGACTTGCCTCGCTTTTCCAAAGCTCCCGGTTCTTAAGCCTGGGACTGTCCTGGGCTGCTGCCTGGGACTTGGGCCCGTGGGGCTGCCGCGCAGTGGGCAGCTGTAACTCCTGGAATTAGAAAGGTAGGAGGGAAGGAGTCTGTGGCATTTCTCAGTCATTTTAGGCCTGTGGGCTTTAGAGAACGAGAGAGGAGGGATCGTCATCTCAGACCACTGCCGTGCACAGCTGGGTGCAATCTCAGCAAGCCTTCAGCTTCTTGGCCTTTGTGGTATTTATTCACCTGTGAAAGCCCATTAAGTGCTCTCAAATACCTACTCTTCTGAAGGCCTATTTCTGAAAACTTCAGTTTGTTTCTTACTGGGAGGGAAGAAGGAAAGCTTAAGAATAAGTATTCCTGTAGTTCACATTAAATGGACCATGCTTAGAGATTTGTGACATTACTGTTTGATGGAAACCTAATTAGTATAGAGAACTTGCATCATCTCATAAAGCACCTTAGATGCAGTCTTCCTTTTCACCTTGACTTCATCGTGGATGTTCTAAGATTAGACTCAACTACAGAGAAAGCCCCGCCTGAAGAATCCAAGTCTTGAAGAACCCTGGATGTCTGGTTCTTTCCCTTGTCAACTAGCCTTATGCATCACGTTAATCAGACATTTAAACCATTTGGGGCCCATTACTTGTTCATTGGGTTGACTGAGCCATTAGCTTACTCTGTTGTAGAGGGTTTACCCAAACTTGACCTACCTTCCTTGTGTTGTCTAGAATAAAGTTGACAATTTTAAGCAGCAAGTACACCCTTTGCAGCTTCAGAAAGGAAGAGTAAATGATAGTGTCCTGTTGGGTAATGTTTGGCATCCTGCTGTTCAGTTCTTAGAGCAGAAATACGGCTATTACCACTGCAAGGACTGCAACATCCGATGGGAGAGTGCATACGTGTGGTGTGTACAGGGCACGAACAAGGTAAGGGACACCATGTAACCGGCATCTTCCTGTTGAAGTGTGAAGTGCGAAGTGCTTTTGCTTTATGTGTATTGTTTCTCATCACAGGTTTACTTCAAACAGTTTTGCAGAACTTGTCAGAAGTCTTACAACCCTTACCGTGTGGAGGATATCACCTGTCAAGTAAATCAAATGTTTGCACTTGGTGTCTCAATTAGGTAGAGGAAGAGGAGGGCCCTTTTCTATGTTTCCTAAAAGAGGCTAGTTTCCTAGTGATTTTAGGTTTCCATTGCTTTTTCTAGGAGTTATAGAAATGGTGGCTAGATGATAAAAGCTTCATTCTGCCCTTGGTAAAATCTTTTGTTGAAGTGGTATGGAAGAAAGCTTGCCTGCTAGTCTGTAACAGAAAGCAAACTTAACAACAATAACTGTTCTAACTTGAGGTGCTAAACGTTGGCTGTTTCACCCAAGTACTTCTTAGGAAGCACATTCTCGAGTTAAATTATTTAGTAAAAGCATAAGAATTGAAACCTGTCTTGCCCAAAAGCTTAAACAAAGGGGGTATAAGATGATAACTAAGCTGCCCAGCTAGCTCTATGGGTAGCTAACTAACATGGCTTGCTGCCTCTTACCACCACACTCCTAATGCTATACTGAGGGACTTAAATAGAAACAAATTACTAAAGTTGCCTATTTTCATACAGCTGATGACCTAACTTGCCCCAGGACAGCCTGATAGGTGCTCTTTAACTTGGGTATTGAAAGCATTAACACCTTAGGGTGTTAGAAACTAGGTGTGGAAAACCATTCAGAATCTCTTAGGTCAGGCACACTTCCTAAAGAAGTTTTAGTCACTCAGTTCTTGCCCTTCATTGACCAAGTTCATCCCCTACTTGTTTTCTACTCTTCCACATCCTTCAAGTGCAAGAAAAGATCTTTTTTTTAGAGTTATATAATAGAAGCTTCACAGCTGAGCACTGAATCCACTACAGTGTAGCTAAACACCCTCTATTCTTAAACCTGTCATTGCTGTGCAGGGGTGTAGACAAGATTAACGCAGGACCTTGTTTATTGTGCATTTGCAATTTGAGTGGACTAGAAAAATCAGTGTGAGGTCCCAGGAAGTTGCCTAGAGTTTCTTTTTTATGTACTTCTCACTCTGATTTTTCAGAGTTGTAAAAGAACTAGATGTTCCTGCCCAGTAAGACTTCGCCACGTGGACCCCAAACGCCCCCATCGCCAAGACCTGTGTGGGAGATGCAAAGGCAAACGCCTGTCCTGTGACAGCACTTTCAGCTTTAAATATATCATTTAGTGAATGTAAAAAATGGTTCTGCCAAACATGTGCTAAGGGAGTAGATGAGTGAGCTTCCGCCTTGCCTTCTGTCTCCCCTTCAGTACTTCTTGAGAGGCAATGTATTTGGACAAAACCTTCAAATAAAAAGGTATCGCAAAACAGCTTATAAGTTGCATAAAACCTCTCAATGTTTGAGGAGAACTCGTCTTGCACTACCACCAGTCTGGGCCTGTCACCTCATAACCTCTGTGGATGGTGTACAGGGGGCCAGGCTGAGTGAGGTGAAAAGCACTACAGAAGCAGAGAGAGGGTCCACAGACCCGGGGTCTGCTTAGGTCTTCAGCCCCATGTTAAATGAACCAAAAGCTGCCCGGCCATCAAAGTAAGCTGGCAGTTTCTGGGCAGATACAGAGCCATTTTTCAATGGATGCTAACACAGAAAATGGGGGCTGCTGGGGTACAGGATGACAGTGTCCCTGTCTCTAGGTTGGCTTGGGGAGAAACTGCTGGGGGAACCAACTGACATTAGTAAATACCACCAATGTGGTCCAAGCGAGGCTTGGAAAAATAGCTGTGGACAGCTGACATAGAAGAGTAACAAACTTAAGTAGACTTAAAGTTGTAACTTTTTAGAATTTTATTTTTTATAAAGCATTGTAAAGATTGAGTTAGACTCAGATGTTAGCCTTCATTGTCCTGAGGACTTGTAATCAGAGGTTCCTTCATTCTACCTAATGACTTTCCTAGCTGAACTGTCCTGGTCATAGGTGGTACTGAGCTTAGAGCCTCAGTGGCTTTGAATGAAAGTGAGGTTATTGGTCTGATTAAACCTCACAACTGCAGCCAGGTGCCGGCACTATTCACTGTTCTAAATGCCCCAGTTGGGTTGCTGAAAGCAGTCTGTTAACATCTTGGACAGTGGTGTGTGGTCAGTGGGGCTAAAAGCCTAAAGCAGGCTTGGGGTCAGTATCAGAGGTCGGGCCCCTTCTACCCCAACAGACCTAAATGGTGCCTGTCCAAGTGCATATTCCCAGGCCCCCAGCCCTGTGGTATCACTGTGCTGCGGCCCATAGAAATGGAGCACAAGCCCCACTCACTTGGTGAGCTCTGTGCCAAGTATAGATAATAAGCACAGTGTGGCTGCCAGACTTAGGGAACTTCCAGTGGATGGGTCCGTGCTACAACAGGGTGGCTTCGATGTGGGATATGGAAGCACATATGCAAGTCCTTCGTTGGCTTTTGTGAAACAGCATACAAATGGCCAATTTTTTTTCTTTTTGGCTATTTTAGAGTCACTATTTTAAAATGTTAAGTGTAGTGGACAAAAGTAAAAGGGCTGTATGCAGCAAAAATGGAATGAAAGAAGGTAACCAATTAAGCACTTGATATTTTCTGTCCAATACAAACTAGATTCAGAGGAGGAAGATCAAAGGCTAGATTTGAGGAAAATCAACTACAAAAGCAATCCTAGTGAACTTCTGTTGGCATCTGGCTTTTTGAGGCTTTCTCATTTTTATTACATTATTACTAGATTTGTTCCATATAGATATAAATTTCAACTGTTCAAAACTTTTGTTGGGTAACCAACTATTTTTGTAAGCAAAGCCCAGTTGGGAATTATTCAGAAGACACTGGGAAAATTTCTAAATAATACAGAGTCATTTTTTTTTAACAAAGAAAAAAACTACACAAACCAACAGCTACAACGCCTTTTATTTTTAACAAAAAGGATGTAAGGGTAAGAAAATAGGGGAGAGTAAAGATACGATATAAAGTGTGATGTGTCTCTGGACACCACCCCTCTCTGCTGGCCCCACACCCAAAGTTATTAAATAATTTAAAGGACACCATTTACAGTACCAGAACACCATTAAAATAATTTTTATAAGGGTCAAAAATACAGTGATTATGAAGGTGCCGTGACCAGTTACGGAATTTTACAGGAAACATAACTACGGTCAGCAGTCCAATAGCGGTATGTATGCACAGTGCCTTCCATTAATGCACTTGAGCATAATTACATTTCTGGCAGGTCTACACCCCCAAGAAAAGGCAAAGCTAAGCATTTCACTTCTACATTCCAAACTCTGGAATCACAGAGCCCAGTTGAAAAGTCACAGTGGATAAGAGATGCATATAAAAAATACAAGGTGTTCCTTTCAAATCAGAGGAGTTGTGGGACTACATTCTTTTACAAAATGCTATTTAAAAAAGGACAGAGAATGCAGTCTGTGCTATGTTACAGACCAGACAGTGAATATATATATATATTGCGTGTTGTGGTAGTCTTCAGGCTTCTTTCACTTCTCTCCCATCCCCAGGTTCCTGTAGCATGGAACATGGAAGTCCTGAATCAACATATAAAAATGCCTTCGCATCTCTTCTCTTGAATTCTGCAGAGCTCACAGCCTGCAGCCCATGTATATCTACCATCATGACCACACTTTTTCAGTTAGCTTTGTAGACTTATTCCTGTATAGCAGTGCATGGCACAAATGTACAAGAAAATACTGGTTTTAGTCTATATGGTTTCTATAATTATGGAGTAAAATAAGTTAACTTTTCTAATGGGAATAGCTGACGGGCAGCACATGTCTTTATCTTACATTTTAAAGTCTCTGCAGGCATCTACTTTGGTTAGTTGTCAACAGTCGTAACATAAGCACTGATCAGAGAACTGAGCAGCATTCCAATAACGTTAACAGATATATTATTTCTTCTTGAAATACTGGGAAAGCCCAGCTTTAAAATATTATTAAAATGTTCTAACATTTACACACTATGAAGAGTTAGATCTAATAAAATAAAATTTCTTCAAAAATAATCTTGCAGTGCTCTTTTAGGCATGCTCTGAGACGTCATCACCAGGCACCCACACCTTGAAAATAGGCCTGTCTCATACCCAGACATCCTCCCCCCCTTTCTCACTCTCTCTCACCACACACACACACACACACACACACACACACCCCTTACACAGACCCCAAAACAAACACCCCAGACCCTTAGCCCATAAGAAAAATAAAAATAATGAATGGTTTTTACAAATAAGTCTCTGTGTGTCTATCTGAATGAATGTTCATGGAGATGACCCAACATCCATTTTCAATTAGGTTGAGGACTGCTAGAAATCCAAGCAGCTCTGCAGGTCTTCGGCTAAAATGACCAAGCCTTCGTTTCAGCCTCATTTCACCTGCCCCCAGAAGTCTCAGTATTCAAGGCCATTATTGCAAACGTTCGAATTCTTTCTCCAGGAAGTAATGTATTTGTATTCATCACTTTTAGCCCTTTTTTCTCACATAGGTTAATTTAAAAAATTCCTTCTTCAGTTATTGTAGGAGGTATTGGCAGCTGTTAAACATTTTGTTTTCTTGAGCTCTGTTTTGGATACAGTTTGACTTTAGTTACAGTTGCAGATGCTGCCAGAAGAGCCATCAGTGAATCCCAAGGTCCACAAGAGGTGCTTGGTTAATATTCTCAATCCTCTTCAGGTCAGTTTCCCCCACGATGCCAGCGGTTCCTCAGAAGCCAGTGCTCACCATGTTTCCAGCGGGCTTGGGCTGTGCTGGAAGCTGGCAGGACTGCACCATGCGGAGAGACTCTCGTATCTCGAGGTTGAGCTCCATCAGTTTGTAGTTGGCTTCTGACATGTCCAGGTTGGAGCCAACGACCGCGAAGCTGCCCGTCTGGCCCAGAGTCTGATGATGGAAGTAGATGTGTAACAGCGTCTGCACAGGGTCATCCTCACAGCTACCAAAGATGTCATTGGGCCAGAGAGACCTGGAAATATATACTCTTTAAGTTATGAGCTGTAAGCAATTAAGAGGAACCATATTTTAAGGTAATACTTATCACCATAAATATTTGAGCCAATGTATTACTTAAGTATCACCTAAGAGTGAGAAAACAGTATTGGTATCACTTCAGGGACAGATGTTGACAAGTCATTTTTTCCTTTTAGAAAGACAAGATATTGACTGATCAAATAGAAAACCAAACCTAACCTTAGTAAATATCCACTTTGGTTATACAAAGTCATAAACCCCCTCATTTTTTACCTGAAAGCTTTGACTTGAGCTACAGCTGATATAAATTCCTTATTTTTCAAAGTTTCAATTAGAGAATGAATGGCAGTTTCTATCGTGGTTTGTGCAGCTTTAGAAATATCCATTTCTTCATTTTCTGAAGCAGCCTCAGCTTCTTTGAGGACACTTTCCAGTTGGGCAAGTTCCTCTGACATGTTGATTACCTAAAACAAAGATACCTTTAAGGGTCTGTCTGTTCATACGTTCAGTGACAATAGCAATCTTTAAATATATATATATATTTTTTGTACCAGGGATCAAACTAGAGCACTTGCACTTGCCAGGCTGGCACTTATGCTGCTGAGCTGTATCCCCAGCTAAATTTTTTTTTTTTTTTTTTTTGCTGTACTGGGGATTGAACTCAGAATTGCGCTTATTATACTGAGCTATCTCCCCAACCCTTAAATATTCTTGATAAAACAAGTGGTAGTGACTGTTTACATCAGTTTAATTGCATAATAATTACATTTTAAATAGTAAAAGTACACTTATTTAAAGTAGTTCTGACAGGAAAGTCTTTATTTTTTAATGTGTTTGGTACAGGGTCTCACTATGAAGCTCAGACTCCTAGTGATCCTGTTTTCAGCCTCCTCAGCACTGAGACTGCAGGCATGTGCCACCACACCCAGACTCAGTGGCCGGCTCAGCACACATATGGTGCTGGTGATCGAACCCTGGTCCCTGTGCTTGCCTAAAAGTCTTTGTATCTTAAAAGGCTATTTAGTAACTGTATTTTACAAAAACAATTTACATACATTTTCACATATTTCACTTTAAAAGTTCAATAATTTTCCCAGTGAGTTTCCCATTTTTTAAAAAAATGTATTTAGTACAGAGTTTACAGGGTCTACAGGGTCTCACTTGGTAGATTGGACTCGAAGTAAGCCTCCTATTTACAGCCTCCCAAGTGCTGGAATTACAGGTGAGCACCACCACACCCAGTCTCTTCCCCGTGATTTTTAATAAAGGAAAAAAGACCAAAGTGATTATCTGTGAATCTATAGATACATTAATTACTTTTAACATTCTAAGGTGTTTTATGTTGTGTATTCATATGTATTTTCATATACATGGGGTGATCAAAGCATATAGTAAATAAGCTTTAGAAATTATAGTAAAAGACACACAGACATACTCATTAGTCCCCTTCAAGATATCCCTCTTGCTCTGAACACCCTTAAAGCATCATTCTAGCCATTCCCTGAGGCAGCTGGGGAAGTTTCTTTCATGTGTTGAAGAGGTGCAATGAAACACAGCACTGTGGTGTGTCCTAATTCAGAGGCCTGGCTCTTCCCAAAATCAACAAGACCATAAAGGCACTGAGGAAATCAAGTTACCCAGGACAGCACAACTAGATCTGCTGCAGAAAGTAGCAAGAATAACGGGGTAAATGTGTTCAAAGTGAGGAGGAATATGTTGAAGGGGATTAATGGCAACACATCTTTTACTATAATAAGATTTAAAAACTCTATAACCCATAATTTTCCATCTCTTAATTACAGAATACACAGGAAGTGTTAGTGGTTGCATGTAGTTTTTTCTTTTATAAAATTTTTATTGTTTTATTTATTTATTTTTTTTAGAACTGGGGATTGAACTCAAGCCCTACACTATGAAGAGTTAGATCTAATAAAATAAAATTTCTTCAAAAATAATCTTGCAGTGCTCTTTTAGGCATGCTCTGAGACGTCATCACCAGGCACCCACACCTTGAAAATAGGCCTGTCTCATACCCAGACATCCTCCCCCCCTTTCTCACTCTCTCTCACCACACACACACACACACACACACACACAC